TGTCATTATTCGCAGATGACATGATACTGTACATAGACAACTCTAAAGACTCCATCAAAACATTACTAGACTTAATAAATGAATTCGGCAATGTAGTAGGATACAAAATTAACACCCATAAATCTATGACTTTTTTTATATACCAATAATGAATTCACAGAAAGAGAAACTAAAAAAAAAAAATCCCATTTACCATTGCAACAAAAAAATTAAGATACCTAGGAATAAACTTAACTAAGGTGGTAAAAGACCTGTACTTAAAACACTACAGGATGTTTAAAAAAGAGAGGAGACATAAACAAATGGAAGAACATACCATGTTCATGGATTGGTAGAATCAACATCATTAAAATGTCCATACTACCCAAAGCAATCTATAGATTCAATGCACTCCCCATTAAAATACATATGGAATATTTAACAGACCTAGAACAAACTCTCCAAAAATTCATATGGAATAAAAGAAGACCTCGAATAGCGACAGCAATCATGAGAAAGAAGAACAAAGTTGGAGAGATCATAACACCAGATATCAAGCTACTAGTATATTATAAAGCCACTGTTCTCAAAACTGCCTGGTACTGGCACAAGAACAGATGTATAGACCAATGGAACCAAACGGAGGATCCAGAGATCAACCCAAGCCATTATGCTCAATTAATGTTTGACAAAGGTGGCAAGAGCATATAATAGAGTCAAGACAGTCTCTTTAATAAACAGTGTTGGGAAAATTGAGCGGAGACATGCAAAAAAGAAATAAAACTAGACCACCAACTTATACCAGATACCAAAATAAACTTAAAATGGATAAAGGACTTAAACATAAGACGGGAAATCATAAAAATCTTAGAAGGATCCATAGGCAGAAAAATATCAGACATATGTCAGTAGCAATATCTTTACTGGTACAGCTCCTAGGGCAATGGAAACTAAGGAGAAAATAAAATGGGACGACATCAAAATAAAAAGCTTCTGCACAGCAAAGGAAACCATAAACAAAACAACAAGAAAGCCCACTGCATGGGAGAACATATTTACCAATGTTATCTCTGATAAGGGTTTAATCTCCCAAACTTACAGGGAACTCATACAATTAACAAAAGGAAGATAAACAACCCAATCAAAAAATGGGCAAAGGACCTAAATAGATACTTTTCAAAAGTGGACATAAGGAAGGCCAAGAAACAAATGAAAACATGCTAAAAGTCACAAATCACCCGAGAGATGCAAATCAAAACAACAATGAGGTACCATCTCACACCTGTCATACTGGCTATCATCAACAAATCAACAAACGACAAGTGCTGGAGAGGATGTGGAGAAAAAGGAACACTTCTGCACTGCTGGTGGGAATGCAGACTGGTGCAGCCACTCTGGAAGACAGTATGGAGTTTCCTCAAAAAACTAAAAATGGAACTCCCATTTGACCCTGTGATCCCACTTCTAGGAATATATCCCAAGAAACCAGAAACACCAATCAGAAAGGATATATGC